GGAACGACTCTTCACATTCGTCGGTCCAGCTGAACTGCTTTGCTTTCTTTAACAGGGCAAGGATTGGCTGAGATATCTCGGCCAGCCGAGGAAGGAACCGTGAGAGCGAGGTAAGCCGACCTGCTAACCTCTGTACTTCCTTAAGAGTGCCGAGACTTTTCATCTCCAGTATGGCCTGACACTTATCCGGGTTCGCCTCGATGCCCCGACTGGACAACATGAACCCCAAAAACTTTCCACCTGAAACACCAAATACGCATTTTTCAGGGTTCAGCCTCATCCGGTGTTGCCTGAGCGCTTGGAACACTTCAGCGAGGTGGTGCACGTGGGCAGAAACTTCGCCAGACTTTACGACCATGTCATCAACGTAAACTTCCAGGCACCGACCTATCTGATCATGGAAAATTTTATTCATCAAACGCTGGTATGTGGCCCCGACGTTCTTCAGACCGAACGGCATCACGCGGTAGCAGTAGTTGGCCATCTCGGTGATGAACGCCATTTTTTCTTCATCTTGAGGGTGCATGCGGATTTGGTTATACCCCGAATAGGCGTCTAGGAAGGATAGGAATCGGTGGCCGGACGCCCCATCGACGAGCCGATCGATATTGGGCAACGGGTAGGCGTCTTTCGGGCAGGCCTTGTTCAAGTTGGTGTAATCAGTACACATACGCCATTTCCCATTCGGCTTTCGGACCATGACCACATTGGCCAGCCACGTTGTGTAGTGCACTTCCCGTATAAACTGCGCTTCCAGCAATCGGGCTACCTCGGCCTCGATTGCCGCCTTCTTCTCCTCTCCGGTTTTCTGACGCCGCTGGGCAATCGGCCTCGCCTCCCTACTAATCGAGAGCTTATGGCAAAGAAAGTTTGGGTCGATTCCAGGCATGTCGGAGGGGTGCCACGCAAACAAATCTCGGTTGTCAAGGACTACTTGTTCGATAGCTGCCTTCTCTCGTTCTGAGAGAACGGTGCCTAGATAAGTAAGCTGTGTATCAGAAGTCCCGACTTGGGGAGGTTGCTTTTCTTCAATAGGTTCAACTCTTTCATCTTGATCCATTCTGGGGTCAAGGTCGAGCGCCCCCTCTGACGATACCGAGTGGATACGCTTGGGCTCTTCAGCAATTTCCGCACGAGGTTTCGGTAATCGCAGGCTGGCAAAATAACACTCGCGTGCCGTTTTCTGGTCGGCATGGACGGTGATCCCCCGCCCCGAACCGGATGGGAACTTCATGGCCAGGTGAGGTGTGGACACGATAGCGCCGAGTATGTTCAGAGATGGGCGGCCAAGCAGAATGTTGTAGGATGTATTGGCGTTGACTACCACATATTTTACCGGGATGTCACGGTATTCTGCTCCTTCAAATCCGAAACGAGTTGACAACTTGATATAGCCCTTTGTTTTAACCCGTTCGCCAGAGAATCCGACCAACGGTTCGTCATACGGGATTAACTCAGACTCCGGGATGCCCAACTGCTTGAACGTGCTCTAGTACAAGATGTCGGCCGAACTTCCTTGATCCACTAGCGTTTTTCGCACAATGCAGTTATGATTTTCGACGCTGATTACCATTGGGTCGTCTTGATCTGTCAGTTGCAAAAGTTTTAATCAATTATCTTGCAATTCTTACCCGCAGAAACACAAACCGCCATTCAAAATATTAGTCAACAACAAAATACCAACCTAGATCAACAAAATGGGAAAAAACATCAAAATTTTTGTAGACCAGTTTCTATTATATGGTTTTTCCAATGTTTTTCCGTAAAAAACAACATTGGTGGAGACTCCTTATTTTTAATTCATTTTTTTCACCGTCTCGTTGCGATCTCGGTTGCAAAAATTATTCATGTTATTTTTAATCATATTTACAAGATTAGTAAAACAATGCCTTTGTTTGAATAATAGGAAGATTTTCTCAATAAATTTTCTTGTTATGTCTGAGGCTGCATGATCTGTTGATGAATCACATCCTATGAACCCTAGTTTGGAGGATACAATTAGGTCTAAGTGTTGGTATGATGCAGTTGGTGGCATGACCAATAAGGGGCGACTGTATGGAGCTGGAGACCTTGCTCATGATTCAAAATATACACACGGCTGTCGCCTCAAGCTTAAAAGGAAAGCATCTTGTAGTAGTTCATATGACACAGAAGAAATTGTTCAATTGAAACAACAATTTGCAGAAAATGATGTGGTTATTCGTCAGTTGCAAAAGTTTTAATCAATTATCTTGCAATTCTTACCCGCAGAAACACAAACCGCCATTCAAAATATTAGTCAACAACAAAATACCAACCTAGATCAACAAAATGGGAAAAAACATCAAAACCAACAAGAAAAAGATGATCAAGGAAAACATCAAGAAGACTCTCCTAATTATAAAGACTATTAGTTAACATTAGAAAAATATTAATATATTTGAATTAACTATATATGATGTTTGAATTATGAATTGTTTAACATATGTTAGCGTTGGATTATTATTATGATATAAACATTACTATTATCTTTTAAATTTATTTTAATGGTGTCACACATTTATGGATTTAATCGGGTGTACCCTATATGAAACATATATAAAACATGGTGTAAAATAATGAGTGCAACAAATACATGAGAAACTAACTCTGGTGAAATAAAGAGTGAAACAAATACATGAAAAAAAGGATTATCTCATTCCTAATTCGGGGAATCGTTATGCCATCTAAAGTCTAAAGCTTATAAGATCTGTTACCGATGACCTGTGCGACTCCATAAGGGCTAATCCATTTTGGATAGAGTTTAATTGAGGCTTGATGGGAGAGCGGGTAGGTTTGGTGTGGTTGTGCTTTGTTGTGGGTGTCCTCCATCAGATCAAGGTTTAGAAACTATACCTGGTATGGAAGTTTGGTGACCTTCAATGTTTTCTTTTTACTCATGCTATCCTCATGGCATCTCCTTGACGCCTTTTGGTTAACCTCGATCGTCTGACGGCAAGTCACGTGTTGGTCCGCGTGACCGATAGGATCCTTCCGGTACATAAAGTAAAGCGTTACGGTACTCTCTAGTTCTTTAGAGGTGAGAATTGTAAATTTTAAGATAAGAGAAAGACAATATAATATTTTCATTTCCTAAAAAAATAAGAGAGTGTAATTTACTCTTTGATTTATTTTTTTTTTCAAATTGGAAATGACTATTAATATTTGATGAACTCCTTCACGATCAACCTAGCTGGTATACACGTGCATATGAATTCAAGGCCGGATGCTTGGACTTGCAAGCTGTGATTTGCAAACACCACCAGGATTTTACATTCTTTCGGCTTGCTCTTTTATTCATTTCTTTGTTCATTAGTTCCAAATTTTAAACATATCTATGACCAAAATTGAAAGAAAAAAAATATCAAACACGATTCAATGGTTTTATTTACATTCTACACATAAAAATCTTACAAGTTTTCCCTTCACGTACACTTTTTTTCGTTTTTTTAGATATCACTTTTTTTCTTCTTAATAATTAACCATCTTCACTTGCATCATATATAAAATAGGGCGGCTAAACATTTCTTTGCTTCTTAATCATAATGTTCCTTACCATATTTTTATGGCAGATGATGATCTTATTGTGTGTTAATAATATAATAAAATTGACCAACTATATATTTACATATATTAAAATTCAAACGAATCTTTTGTACACTATTAAATATCTTTGAATATCCCCCACAAGTATTTTTTATAAGCGAAATGCATTAAAAAAATTTGAAAAACGGTTCCTCTAATTCTATATACACTAAACAATCCAAGGCTTACTACACAGCTAATAAAACTGTTTTACGCAAACCAGTTGATTAACATATGAAGCTAAAACTAGTACCTTGTCCAATTGATAAAATTATTTTGCCTAACATATGAAGCTTAAACTAGTACTGTATCCAATTAATAAATTTATTTTTCCTATAAAAAATGGATTCTATATCTATACTATTAAAAAAGCGGATTGTTTGATTTGATTCTCACATTTTTACATAATTTTATCTTCATAGCTACTTTTTTACAAAATAAAAATTTTCTTTTACTTTTTTTTTTCTTTTATAAATTTTACTCTATGACCACTTATACTTTTAATAATCATCTTATATATATATATATATTAGTTTTTAAAAATAGTTGAGGGAAGCACATGATGTCTTTTATACACTAGCAAGTATATATACATAGCCCAAATATCATTTAGAGTCTCTCTGTTCCATGCATTTTGCTAAAACAAGACATAAATATCACGAGGAAAAAAAATAGAGAAAATCAATACCCTTTTAACTAAAACCTACGTGGCTTAAAACTAAAACAATGTGATTTTCTTGAGAAAACATGATTTTTCATCTACCTAATTCTTGTTTAGTGTGGAAAAATGATAATACAAATAAACCAAAGAATATTTATATGTATAAAACAAAATTAAAGTCAAATGAATGCAACCACTTTTTTTTTCTGACTGATAAAAGAAAATGCATCCACTTTTGTAACTGAAAAAAAGTTATTCCTTCTAGAAGCTTTAGCCTTTAATTTAGATAATAACTCGAGAACCAAAAAAATTATTTGAAGGTCAGCTATGGTTAAGTTTCTTATTCTCCACTAAATCAAGAATTACTAATTTATTTCAATAATTGGTCTTTATTAATTTGAAGAATAGTCCGCAAAAGACAACTAATCAAAAGCAGGCTCAATTCTATTGGAAACATAGCAATATAGTAGGTATAAGAGACAAATAAAACAAACTTCTGATTCCTTTTCCATCTCCTGAAGACATGGAAATCCATTTAAAAAGTAAAATGCGATGTCTATCAAAAGAAGAAGAAAAAAAATGTACCATAATTTCTTAGGTGAGGTCAATTTGCTACATATAATAAATCTAGGGATCCAACCACCTGCAATTATAATGCTAAATTAATCATATTTTAAAAGCATACACAACCATTCTTCCTTTGGTCTCCCTAGATAAATACTTGTTAATACTTAACTTGTCCTCACATCTCTTACAATTAAGACACTAATTACCATCATCTCATTCCTATAAGGCAACAAATTACAAATTAAAATGGCTGATGAAAAAAAGTTAGTCCGTTTTGGCATCCTAGGATGTGCCAACATCTCCATCAAGCTATGCAAAGCCATAAGCAAAGCACCAAACGCCACACTCCATGCCCTAGGCAGCCGGTCCGTCGAGAAGGCGGCGGCGTTTGCGGCCGAGCAAGGCCTGCCCACGGCGGTTAGGGTTTACGGGAGCTACGAGGCCGTGTTGGATGACGAGGAGGTGGACGCCGTGTACGTCCCTCTTCCGACGGCTTTGCACGTGACGTGGGCGGTGAGGGCGGCGGAGAGGCGGAAGCACGTGCTGCTGGAGAAGCCGGCGGCGATGAACGCGGCGGAGCTGGACCGGATTCTTGAGGCGTGCGAGGCTCATGGGGTGCAGTTCATGGATGGCACCATGTGGGTGCACCACCCTCGAACGGCTAAAATGAAGGAGGCTTTGTCTGATGCTCAGCGTTTTGGTCAACTCAAATGGGTATGTGCATATTATTAATTAATCAATTCATATACATGTTGGATAGATCGTGGTATGGTTCATTCTGTTAGTTTTTCTTGCTACGTACGAATATAATTTGAATTGAATACGTGCCCTAGTTATACATACACTCATGAATGATGCAAGAGTATTTATGTACATTTAGGATGTGTTTGTTTTGTAGCTAGGTTGAACATAACTGAAAAGCACTTTCACTTTCTTTTTTATATATTGGAAAGCAAAAAAAGTTTCTTCAACGATATTGAACAATTTTCAAACATACATTTAGTAAAGAAAGTATATTATATTTTTCTTTTTCGTTATGATTTTGAAAGAATTAATTACTCGTATTTAGAGGTCATTATAGGAGTTGTGAAGTGATCAAATTAGATGAAAAGTAATACTTCATTTGTTTCATAATAAGTGTTATTTTAAGTTGTTTTAAATAAATTATGAAAAGTTCATAAATAAATAAAGGAGAATCATAATTTTATAAAACTAATTTTATGATTAATAATGATACAACACAATATCATATTTATATTAAAACTTTAACTTAAGATTACTTATCGATGATGATAAATTAATGATGAATATGATCATTTTATTATCTTTTAATGATGATCGTTTAGCTCATGATAAATGATGATAATAAAAATTCAAGATTATTTATTGAAATAGAATAATTTCTATTAATTGATCTAAAATATTTAGTGGACAAGAGATCCAGATCCCGCACATATATTATTATTAAAATGAGAATAATAGCCAAAATGGGCTACACGGCTTCATTCCTTTCCTTTTCTTGGAAGAATAAGATGGCTTATTTCAAGGGGAAGAAAAAGATTTAGGTAGACAAAGAAAAAAAAAATTGTTATCATTAATAGGTCTAAAACAGAAAGGTTATTACAAGAATAATAGGAAATAACTATAGTTGAAGGAATCAGTCCCTTACAGCATATTGAATCAAGATTTGCATTTCTGTTAGAAGAAATATTTTTGTTTAATATTTCAAACAAAATTGCTTAAGAAAATACTTGTAAAATCTAATAAAAAGGTGTTGCGTTATAACGTGAAAAGGAAACAAATAGTTCAAAAGAAAGAGTACAGTAGTTCTTTCAATTTCTAAAATTTTATATCATATGTCTAGTTATTTTATATGTAATTTCAGTCTTTAAAATGCAAAATATATTTTTTTAAAATTGATAGGCTGCAAAACATATTAAATGATTTGAAAAGACCTAAATCAATTAGAGAACATTTGTGCTTTATGCAGAAAAAAAACTAAAACTATTAAACTCTGTCAAAATGACACACTCTGGTTCGATATCGATCACCCAAGTGACTACATATATATATACTTCATAATTGATTAGTTTAAATATTTATCAAAACTTACAGCAAAATGTCATCATGCTGCTAACATTTAAACTATCAAACTATAAGTCTCTTTTTAATTTTTCTTGTATTTACTTAAGCTTTTCAAAATAACTAGAAGCTAAAAATAATCTAAAATATTATTAAAATCAGAAACTATTTTGAATAATTTATCATAAAATCAATTTGTTTCTTTTGAGAAAAAAGAATATATTTTTACCATTAAACAACCATCGTTGGTTTTTTTTAGGATCACTAGATATTTTGACAAATTTATAATTTCCATTATCTCTCTCTCTCTCTCTTTTTCAAAATGAAAACGATAAAATTTTATTTTATTCATCCACTTTCCTTATCTTTTTCTTAAAACTCAAAACTTTCTTGCTTCTTCTTTTACAATTTTTTCATTATTTATATTTGCATTCACACGTATATGTTTGTCTTTTGTCTAGCAAGATTTATATGAGAAACACAACTATACGTCTACACCCACCACGCCAAGCTTTAGTGTGATGCTCGAAGCGAATGAAAAGATAAATCTAGTAAATATAGGTCCTCGTATATTTATTTATATTCTTATTGTTTATGAATTACTAAACTGAACACGATTTAAATTGTCTTTTGGTGTCAAAAGTTTGCCAGTACTTTACTAGACACAGTGGTATTGAGGTTTAGTAGATCGATAAGAATGCCGACAATTTATTAATTTCGAATTGTACACGTGATAACACTTTCATATTTTGATTAAATATAATTTGACTAATGTGGCTTTTTCTTGGTAACCAAGTTTGGTTCAAAATATAATGGTTATAACTAATAAGAAAAAGGTGGTTTTGTATGGGTGAAAATATCATCGGTGATTTCTATATTGTCGATGTATTAATATGAAAATGTTGTCACGTGTATTAGCATTAGATTTTTACATGAACATGATTATGGAAGATCCAAAAGATTAAATAATATGCTTTCTTGTCGATCTATATATGGATCAAGAAATTATCTGATAATATTTATGTTAGTATAATGACGTGTGTGATTCATTTGGTTTATCTATCTGGATTGCTATTCTTAAGATAACGTCATGATTTTGCTCTTATTGGTCAGTCATCACTTGCTAATTTCTTTTTAATCTATAATAATCAAGCATAAGTATAAGAGAATGTATATAACACTCACACACATATTCAATTAATCGAACTAAACTTTATATATTCATCTAACCAGCTTAATTATAATTGAATTAGAAAATAATTACTTATTTTTATAATTAATTTTTCTCATAAAAATACTAATAAAGGTAATTAATTATTTATTTATTTGTTTAAAATAAGTTAACTAAACACACATTTAAATGTCGAAACTCATTTAATATATCATTTATTTAATTTTTTAAGTAGTTCCATCATGTTGTTGTAAAAAACAAAGTAGTTCATTATGTAGATTTTACTCTATCGTTGATATATGCTTACATACAAAATTATCATACAATTTTTTATAATGTCAACTCCTCGAGATTAATTTCTAATTGTTAATTTAGAGAACACTCTTAATATACACATATATAATAAATAAATAAAAACACATGCATCTAAGTATATTTTCCTAATAATACTTTTGTAATACTTATATATGCTCACTAAGCAACACTGCCCCAATTCAAGTCTTATCCCATTAGATTAGGTCAATTACGAGGATCAACGATGTCATAATATTTTATTGTTAATTATTATATCCACAAATTAATCAAGACTTCTATAATTTTCCTTCATATATCTCTACTTTTCTTGTTGGAACTTTTATATGTCGCCTTCTCCTCACATGTCTAAATAACCAGGAGGCTAGATAGCCATTAATTAATTATTATAGGTACTGCTCTATCTTTTTTTATTTTCCTCGTTTTTCTAATTAATACATTTAATCCTTGTCCTTTCTTATCTAATATGTCTATACATGCATTTAATATAACTTTTTTATTTTTTTAATTTAAATTTAATTTTTTGTTATTCTTTATTGCGCATAATTCGAAACAATATGTAGTATATTATAAATCTTATTGTCTATATATACTCAAATAGTATAAATAGTAATCTGTTTAATGTTTTGAAATTTGAGTCTCACCATCTAATACAGTAGAACCTCTTAGTTCAATTTATAAAAACTAATTAACCTCACATAGTGTAGTCCCCCCGCAACTAGGGAATAGGAACAGAATCTAGAGCAGTGAGACTTCTACTGGGTGAAAACAACGGCGGGTTAACCCTTTAAATTTTTTTAACAAACATTTACTTTCATCCTTTTAAAAAAATTCATTTGACCCAATTTGATTATCATAGGGAAAAAGGCAATAAATATAGTCTTTAAAAATATAAAGATATAATTATTTTGAAATGTATAATTATTTCCTTTAAAAATGGATGAAGAATTAAAATGTTTCACATTTATAATTTTAGACGACTATTTAATGGCTTTTTTCTTCATTAAGTAAATTAAGTCATATTTTTTTATGGATGTAATTGGGTGTTCTCTCTTTTTCTTTTCTACATTCTAATCTGGTTCATGATATATACACTTCCTTTTTTCTATAAGTACACCTCCTTTTTTTTAAAAAAAAATAATTAAATTTTTAAGATATTCTTAATTTTTTTAATTCTTTTGTTTTTAATTTTTAATTTTACATCTACAATATTTAATTTAGTACTTTTTTTTCACACATTTTCCCTCCTTTTTTCAATTTTTACATACACCCCCTTACCTTTCTTTCATCATACATATTTTGATAGCATGTGAAAATTTAAAAAAAAAAAGTGTGAAAAAAAAGAAGAAAGTAGCAAATTGAAAGTTGGAGGTGTAAAATTAGGAAATTTTAAAAAAAACTACAATATTTTATAAATTTTAAAAAATATATATATATATATATATAAAAAGTGTACTTATAAAAAAAAAAAAAAAAAAAGGTGTATATATCATGAGCCTTCTAATCGTTCAACACTTTTTTTAGCCCATAACGTTTGAACACTCTAGTGGGTCAGAATTGAACCGAACATGGCCCAACAAATGTTTGCCAACTCTTCATTAAACCATTCATTTGCAACTCATTGGAACTTGCAAAAAGGCCAAGACTTCATTTTTGGTTATGTCCATTTACTTTTCAGAGTGTCAGAGATCTAAAATTATAAAATTATTTATTTGATAACTTATTAAATTTTTTTACAATATTAATAAAATTTCCTGTATTTTACAAGGCTGTCAATTTTAAACTTAAAAGCATATTCTTGAAGTAAATAAAAGTTAATGTATGAATCTTATGTATTAATCATGAGAAAAAATATTATGCATAAACATGTAAAATAGTTTTATAAAATGATTCAATCATAAATTATTATACATAATGAGTATTTTAATATTTATAATAATTATCTTAAAAGTCATGATGATTTTTTATTTATTGTCAAATAATGATTATTAAATCTATTAATTATTTATTACAATTTTTCTTTATCTTTAAAAATATGATTAATCTTTTTATATGTTAATGTAAAATTTCATGTAACTTCATGTTCTTATTATGATTTTAAAGATTCCTTACTGAATTTATCTTTTGCATGTGTTGTTCATCAGATACACACTTCCCTCACATACAACCCTGGTCCTGAATTTCTGAAAAACAGCATTCGGGTGAAGCCAGATTTAGATGGTCTCGGTGCCCTAGGTGACACTGGTTGGTATTGCATCAGAGCAATCTTATGGGCAGTGGATTATGAACTTCCAAAATCAGTGCTTGCATTCCCAGGTGCCATTCTCAACGAAGAAGGTGTAATAATCTCTTGTGGCTCTTCCATGCACTGGGAAGATGGAAAATCTGCAACCTTTCACTGTTCTTTCTTATCCTATGTCACCTTTGATGCAACATTTTTGGGCACAAAAGGGTCTATTCGCCTCAATGATTTTGTTCTTCCGTTTGAAGAAAGTTTAGGGTATGGAACCTTTTTGGAGTCCTCAGAGTTGGATTATGGGAAGATTGAGCCAGGAATGTGGTGCCCTAAGCCAAATGAACATGTTGTGGAAACGGAGTTTTCTCAAGATGTTTGCATGGTTAAGGAGTTTGCTGATTTGGTTATTAAGGTTAAGGGGTGTGAAACGAAGCCTGAGAAAATTTGGCCAATTTTGAGTAGAAAGACTCAAGTGGTGTTGGATGCAGTGAAAGAGTCCATTCAGAGAGGTTACCAACCAGTTGAAATCGTGAGTTAGTTTTTTTTTTTCTCCCCATCAATTGTGAATTAGATGGAGCATGTATTTTTGTACATGTTTTCTATATGTACAAAGATGAAAATTACATGAAATGGTCTGTAAAATGCAAGTCGATTAATTGTTGAAATTAATTTATGTTAATTATTGGCAATTCTCGGCATTTATGTAGTGGGAATTTGGGGGCCAAGTTTTTCTGTGGAAGTTGTAAAATTATTTTTGATACATGCATGTAATCCTAAGGAGTTAGATTTGTGGTGATGAAAATAAAATTATTTATCTTAGCTTTTCCTCTTTATCCAAGTAAAAATATGAGAATTTCTACTGGATCCAACAGTTTTAACGCTTTTGATATAGTCAGGTAAATTTATTTTATACATGTCATCATTTTTAGTCATATCACCATTTTACATTTCAATATTAAAAATTATTAATCATTCCAATTTAGAAGCAATTTGTAACATCCCAAATTTTATACTTTATATTTATGAAAATTATTTTTCTATAGTTATTAATAAAAAAAAAAAGGTTCTTTTTATATAGAATATTTTAGAGATTTTAATGAATGATTATTATGTATTTTAAATATTTATGGAATTATTAAAGGGATTTTATAATTAAAAATAATAAAATAATATTCTGGGCTCAGAACGGGCCGTTCCAAAAGTGGAACGGGCCGTTCCAAATTTCTGAAAAGGCTTGTGTTTGTTGTCCCGGAACGGACGTTTCAAAAGTAGAACGGGCCGTTCCAAATTTGCAAAAAGGTCTGTGTGGGTTTTTCTAGAACGGGCCGTTCTAAATGGGAAACGGGCCGTTCCAGAATCCTAAAAATGGCTAGAAAGTGAAGTTAGAAACGGGTCGTTCTGCTTATGGTCAATGTGTGTTAAAAAGAAACCCAGAATGGGCCGTTCAAATTTTAGAACGGGCCGTTCTGCCTTTTGAAAACGGGCCGTTCCGATTTTAGAACGGGTCGTTCTAGTTGAAAAATTTGCCTACATTTAAAGGTATCGGAACGAGCCGTTCCGAATTCAGTACGGGCCGTTCCAGGTGCGTCAGAATGCCTATAAATAAGGGCATCAGGGGTGAAAATTATATAATTGAGTGAAATAGTAAAATCTTAGAGAGAGAGAGAGAAAGAGAGAGAGGGAAAGAAAGAAGGAATCTAGAGGGGGAGGTTCTGCTCAAGTTTTAGCTCTTGCTTATCCAGGTAAGGGGGAGGAGAACCTTATCTCTTTAAAATTTTATATACTATTATGTTTATTTATTCATGTTATTTTTTATGTGTATTTATCTAGTGAGGTGTCCCTAACCGCTTTTATTTGCTTAACTTATGATTATTTTTATCCATATTAATTATTAAGGTGTTCATATTTTATATTGTTTAATTATTTTATAATGATTATCATTTTTATTTATATCATTGGTACCCTTAATATATTCTTTTTATGTAAATATATTTATAATCAACTATGATATAGTTGTGATGATATCTTGGACTCGTCTTGTTATTTCTTCACGTATTTATGAAGATAAATATTGTTCTATGACCATAGAAGATAAAGTTTGAATTATTTGTAGCTGGAGGTTTGACCTTGGGGATTTAAATGAGTAAGAAATGAAGGTGAAATATCTTATTGTTGGTTAAGGTGAAATATCCTTTTATTGGTTGATGTTATGATGATGCTCATTTATCCTGACTAGTCACTACAAGTATAATTCAAATTTTATTGTATCATGAAAAT